CTCTTTTTCTGTTTTTTTTTTTGCTTTCTGACCAAATTAAAGAAAGAAGCTGATTGGTTACTATTGCCAACTGCTACGGATTCTGTCTACTCCACTCTTGACAAATTACCCCCATGGTAAAGTGCAAGTGCAAAGTGATGAGGAGTCTTTCAGTGGCTGGGATACTCTCTCGGTAAAAGGTGTCCTGATACTCTAAATGCCTAGACAGTATCCCCAGTTGCTCATCAAAACTATATGAAAATTAAAAGTGCCTGTTATCCTAACAGGAGCAAACAGAATCTGATGGTGGAAAACAATGTTCTCTTCTCATTTACTCCACAATTAAAGTGACATTAAAGTCAAAAAAATGTTTCCCTCCGCCCCATGTTAGCACTTACCTTAAATGATGTCTCTTATTCTGATCTTCCTCTTCTTTCCCCATGTTTTCATGTGTCCCTCCAGCGGTGCGGCGTCTCTCTGATCCAGCGCTGACTGCTCTGTCCCTCCGATCCAGCGGTGTCTGCATGCGGGTGCACGCGTCCATAGACTTACCTTGCCGCCTCTGCTCGTCTCCCGGCCGAGAATCGGAACTGCGCGGCCGTACGATCACTTCCTGATTCTCAGCACGGGAGCGAGCAGCGATAACGAGGTAAGTTTAAAACTAGTTAAAGCGTTTTTTTGGTTTTTTTTAAACTTCTTGCCTATATCTACTGCTTGCTGCTTAAATTCCACTGATTGTCACCTAACATGCCACACCTAAGATAGAATGATGCACGTGAAAGGTCACCAACGCACACAATCAAGTGAGCTTGAGCATGAGAACTCATCTTTTAATGGACATGCGGGTGTACTTAAAACATTTCACTTCATGCCCACAGAGATCATTATATATGGACCAGAACTGGCCTGGTTCTTTTTGGCTTGTGATCGCAGGATGGACCCAGAACCTTCGTCTCTGTTTTTTTTTTTTGTTTACTTGAGAATCAGAAACACGATCACTGCAGCCGCTATGAAACACTGATTTGATGAATACATCTTCACAATTTAACACAATCACTCCAAACACTCTCCTTTCTCACGAAACCCCCCACCAAACAGAAATTATGTCACGGGTGGGACTCTATTTCATTGGACGACTCACCACCTATACATAGCATAATAAAAAGCTTTTGCCAGGTGTGCAAAACGCACATCTATTTAACTGAAATGCTGATGCCTAGCTGTGAATGCAGGCTAAACTGTCAATGATGGTTGCCTCCAATATTCCCTCAGGGCCATGTTTCTCAAAAAGAATATAATCTCTTTTATAATATATCTAAAGTAGCAAACTGTCAGTCAGTGAGTAATTATGTCCATGACCAGGGCCAGCCCTAAGCCTTTAGGCGCTCTGTGCGAGAAAGCTTTACAGTGCCCCTCAGTGACCACACCCCTCAGTGACCACATCCATTTCTCTAATATCCGCACCACTTAAAGACTCACATTTTGTTAGGCCCCAAAGAAACATATTAAAAAGTATGATAAAAATAAAACTTTTATCCAAAGGTATTAAACTTATAGGCGCAATATAAGATTTCTTATTAAATAAAACAACAGCAGTCAAACAAGTGATAAACAATAAATGTCAAACTAAAATAGAGTCCATAAAAATAAAGTGTCCGGATGTCACACAGACCCTTTTTTCAAGTAAGTGCATCTAAAAATTATGATGCAATATCGCGATATAGGAGACAATTACACGCACACCAAAGTCTGCTATAAGCTAGTTTTATTTATTACAGTGCATTAAAGTTTTTATAAAATGATAGAGAGAGAGGAGGAGTGGTGTGGAATGTTACATAGAGCTGGCATAATATAGAAGGTCAGTAGATATCTTGAAGATGCGAGACTTAAGTTGGCCTTACACTGTTCTATTTTTCTTCTTTTTTTTTTTCATTCAACCTGTGGGCTGAACGAAAAAAATAGAACAGATTCCTGCATCAACACTTATGAGCACTGACCGAGAAATCTCTTCCGGTTTTCGTTGAATTATGACAACAGCCGCCCGTCGCTTTCAAGAATACCCGTACAGAGCCGCTGGCTCTGTTTGGACGAAGATTTTCCTTCTGGCTCCTTCGATCAGGGATGCTGACCAGAAGGGTGCTGACAGCGACACCACTGTGTGAATTTTGGCCGGTTCATCTAGAACTGGCCGAAATTCACCCAGTGTATGGTCATCTTAAATTTTTAGGAAAAGAGAGAGCACTCTTGTGTGAAAGTTCAATCTTCACTTGAAATATGCACACAAATACAAATGGATGTTCTTGTGCCTATGAACCTAAGAGTGGATTTCTCTTTCGCTTCTTGATGATCTAATGTTTGTGATTTTGATCATAACTTGTCTGTTGTTAACTAGAAATTCACAGATTTCACCACTTGTTGCCATGTTTTAAGTCCGATTTTTGCAGACGTTTCATAAAACCAAAGCATATATGTCAAAGGTTAAAATGAGTGTATGGCTATACAGTATGTATGCCAAGCCTTCTATTGTATGCCTTGAAGCCATTTTGAATCACAGATGCTATTTTGAGTACATTTTTAATAATTGTTTGGCTGAAGCCATCTCACATTTTCGTTGTTATCCATCATTTATAATTGTTCCCCTTAAAGGGAGTTTGTCATGAAAGAAACATTGAGGTTGTCATTTGGAGATGAACATTTAGGGACAGGCTGTTTGCAATTCCCTGAATGGGCAGATTATTTGGTCTGAATGATGTGAAACCTCGCGCCACTACTCTAGTCAAGTTAAGCAGCAGCTGAAATCTGTGTGGTCAGATATAACGTATGAAATTAATGGTAAAAGCCGCGCTGTGTGAATGAGACCGCAAAGTGTCAGATATAGTAGATACTGACCTTAGAGTAATGTGATACAATGTGTAAAAAGTGCAAAACAAAAAAGGAAACGCATGTATATAACATGCACCTTAGTGTAAATGTAATTGCTACAAAATATCCATAATGAAAAATCAAATGCACTAAATATTAACTGTGAATCAATGTGATGCAATGTGCAAAGAATACCGACAAGAAAAACGCATGTGTGTAACTTGCACTCCAGTGAAAATAATAAATGGTTAAAAAATGTCCATGATCCTGGATCTTCAATAGTCCATTAAGTAAATAGAAGATAAAACATTGGATGTAGAATAAACTTAGTCTCCTGTGACCATCAACAGAGAAATCTTCTGGAATGCACCTCACCTTTAGCAGAGACCCACCAGGGTCTGTATGCGCTGTTCCTCTAATTCAAAACAGGTAGAGGAAGCACCTGATGCCGAATACCTCCCAGTGATTACCTCCTCTCAGGTACAGACTCTCTTGCAGTCTCAGGAATTGGAAACAGACAGTTCATCCGAATGGCCCATGCATCAGATAAAATAAAAAGTGGAAACTCGTAGTGCAGATGGTTTTAAAAGGATACTAGACTTTATTAAAAAAAGGCAATACTACTCACATATCATAGATAAAATTGAGGTATTTTGTAAGCAGCCCTGATGAAGTCACGCCCTTTGACGTAACGTACGTAGGGTGGAGTAGAGGAGCTGAGCGATCTGCACACAGTGTCTGTGGCTGCTTACAAAGCTGTAACCTGGTGGAAAACTCCCATTGTACATGTACCTTATTCCTAATATGCATTAAAAACACGTCAGATACAGTGTTTTCTATAACCTTTTTATTTTGTTACTATTTCACATATAGAAAGGGCATTTTTACTATTTACATATTCACATACTATTTAAAAAATCAAACTTTAAAAACTATATATACAAACACTATAAAGTAAACTATTCACAAAAATATAAATTTATAATATAAACATTCAGTAGAAGCAAACAGGACCACATCCTGGTACCCTACGGCAAGAGCTCCTTGTCTGCTGCCATCCTCCTTCAATGGCATGGTCTGATTTTATCTAGCAATGCACAAGGAAAACTGCTAAACAAACATACACTAAATTTAAGAGCCCAATTGAAGCTTTTAACATTGGTGCACGACAGAGCACCAATCAGCAACTCTTGCTGAAAAGAGATGATTATTGCGCTAGAGTGCTGACATATTGGACCTCTATATGGACATAGCCATTCTTAGGCCCCTTTCAGACGGGCTTTCCGATCAGGCCAGCCTATCAGTTTTTCAGGTGGGCCTTATTGGAGGCCCAATGTTAGTCTATGTGGAGCTGGCTCTAAATAGACGGGCATCCGTTTATATCTGGTTACCCCCGGATCCGGCCAAGTCCGGAAAAACATACAGATCAGAGTTCCATTTCACCAGACTTGATCGTGCTGGATTGGGGTAATCTAATGTAAACAGGAACATGTCTGTTTACATCCGTCTCCCTGTAGACACTTGGTTCTCAACTGGTGGGTCGTGACCCAAAAGTGGGTCGCGACCATGTGTTCTGTGAGTCACTGCGTTCCTTCCACTTTTCTAGGTGAGAAGCTTCTCAGCCTCCCCCTAGTGCAGCACTGTCAGTTCTCGCACCATTTTTTCTACACTATTACACAATTTTGGCCCCGTAGATTTTATTGGATGTGCCTGAAAATTGTGCATATAGTGATTACACACTTAAAAATTCCTCCTCCTAGTAACTAGCTTTCCATTGGCTAAAACAAAAACGCTCATGCCACTTGCATGCTGTGCAAAATATACATGCTTAAAATACCCTCAAAATCAGCTAAAAAAAGCTCACGCTCAGGTGTTAAAACCTCTTTTGACCAGTTTTACCATTTAAACCTTTATAGATTCTTGTTTCACTGAATATTGGGTTATGTAAACATATAGACCTTAAAACATTACTGGACCAGCAGTAATGCATGTTTGTAAAGGAAATTAAATTGCAGTTAAATAGATTGTATATACAGTATATTACTATTGATTTATACAGCATCATCATGTCTCAAGATGTTTCAGAGTGTAATTGACTGATCTTGGCTGCCATACGCCAGCATCACGGACTGTTCCCTTATGTGGTGTATTGGCTTTCTTCAGTCAGGGCTGATGCATCCCTCTGGATCAACAGCATTATTCTGAAACATGAAAATACAATTTGTTTGCATTATATAGTATTATAAACTCTACAGAACAATAAACAATACTGTAAAATGTAAATTGAAAATTAAATTGAGCCCCTTTAAGTTTAGGAATGTAAAACAAATGAAGTATAAACCAGGAATAATAGCGTGGTTTCCCATGCATTGTTCCTGCATAAAACAGTACAATAGTTTCTATGTCCAACATGATTTCCCATTTCCTTATTTGTGAAACAAAGCATGTGACAAGTCATAATATGTTGTCGCAGTAACAAGTTTATTACATTTATTGCTCTGAGGCACAATATGATGTGTAATGAATTTGTACCTCATCACTCTTTAGTAAACAGGTCTGACTGTGAGCACCTGGATGATGTTTTATTTGGCAGTGTATCAGTTTCCTAGGACTCGCAAATTATTTTATTGTCTCACTGTGGAATATAGCAGAGATGACGTCCTGAGGCAAATATTAAGGTGAAGAGGTGACACCATTGTCCTAATTACCGGTGCCCTATTTCCTGATGTCTTCAAAGCTAAATTTAAAAAAAGACTTGCCATACTGAACAAATGCCAAATGATGTACTTCACAGGGCTATTAGGATAGCTAATGTGTGAATGAATGAGTGGTCATTGACTCATGTGTGAATGAGTCAATGACCAGCATCCTATTTATAGCACAATATAATAGTAAACAACACTACGTGACATCAGTCACCAGTTTTGATGAACAGCATCATATACAGCTATGTAAATCTTGAAATGAGTATGAGTATATCAATGTAAACAGAGATTGTGTAATCCAAATGTAGAGCATGTAAGTCAGAGGGGAATATTACATACTGCTACGTAATCAAGTACATGTGAGCGAAACTATGTATGAGCTTGGGATGCATTATTAACCAGTCTTCAATTTACACATCCCTATCCTATTATCTTCATTCAGGTAGGTGGTGTATCTTTTTTTATAATGTTGGGTAGAGTGGGGGCATTTCATATTGCTTGACCTGTCCTCATTGTAGAGATTTACCCTCATTTCCTGGCCCGGAGACCATACAGGAACCAAGAGGGATATCTTACAGGGAAACACACAGCAACAATAACTTGGCAGATGTCTGAAACCTCCCTAGGGCCCATTCATACTATCATGCTGTGGCAGCCTACATTACATGCGTTGGTGCAATATATGATGATGAGTAGAGTGGCTGAATTTTAATGCTTTCTCTGACCTCATTAGAAAGATTTATCCTCACTTCCTGGTGCAGAGACCACACAGGAAGCAAGAGGAATCTCTTACAGGGAAACACACATCGAGAGGAACCTGGTAGAGGTCCTTCCTTAGGGCCCATTCACACTATCATGTTGCGGCAGCATACATAACATGCATTGGTGCAATGAGGTCCTATTCGTGCGTTCAGATGTCAAGGTGGATTAGGGTAAATGACACCCCAAAGCACCTAGCCTTGCATTGGAGTACGCTCCTAGAAATGGTGCATGCCCCATTTTTGGTGCATTGGTAGACCATCCATTTTGAATCAGAGGAAAGTTGAGCCGTAAGTGGCCCTGCTGACACCACCCAGCTTGACAAACTTCAATTTAAAAAAATGAATACAAAAAATGAATACAGAATACAATAACTGGCAAGGGGAATTCCCCCGTCCATCCATTTTGTTTAGCATGGATGGAGGAATCGAGTGATTTCTGGAGTTGGGTCCCCTGACTCCTACCAGTTTTTTAGTTTCTATGTACATTTCAAAGTACATGTGAGCCAGGTGAGGTAAGTCCTTTGTGTATAGCTAAATCATCATTTAGAAACCAAAGGCTGAAGAGGAGCATTGCCGGCAAGAAGCAGGGTTGGAAAAGATGGTGGCAGTGTTGGATGGAACTCCACTGGAGCCTGGACTTTATAGCCTGCTCATTATGGCAACAACAACCTCCCTCCCCCACACACAGCAAACTTTAGTTCCAGTTTCCCATATAGACATTGGCCTTCTTTGACCAGATCAGGTTGATCCGATGTCATTGGCATGCATTTATTCACTCAATTACTATTGTTTTCCTGGGGCACGGGCCACTCTTCCTCCACTGTTGCCCTTTGTTGTTACTATAGCCCTCGTGTTTAGAGGAGAGAGACCAGAGATATCATCAGAGTCAGAGTGTACGTGTACTTCTGTCCACACTGTAATAGCCAGCTTTAGTCTACAGGTGTTCATATATATAGGGTGATTGGTGTGTGGGTATGAAGTACACTTAGCCACGTGAGTCTGATGGCAAGCAAGTACATTTGTTATTTCCTTAGTCAATTGTGTTTGCAGGTACCTCACATAAATGAGAAAAGCGGCTAGATCACGTAACTATAAAGTATAATATACTCACCAAATTGTCTCTACTGTGTGATAACCACGTAAAGGAGTCTTGCAGATACTGGTTTCCAAAGCCCATGATTCTGTTTACAGGGTGAGAAGCGATTCCAGCAACTTGCTTCGTAAAGTGAATGGAGAATGCAAATTTCATGTCCTCAGGTGTGTCATCTGAGCCTCTCTTTTTTATCTCTTTATCAACATAGACATCAGCAAGTTGCTTGAAGGAATTGTAAGAGATGTTCCTAAAGAAGTTGTTAAGAGCGGGGTCTTCTTTTATCTAAACAGGTGATAACATTTAAACATGTATTAGTGATTATATCTGTGATGTAGACTGTCCATTACACTTGTGCCTTACAGTTTGTATATGTATACTTTATATACTTATATAGCGTGAAATGTTGATGAACCTTTCAGAAAATTAACAAACTGGAGTACTGTAATAATTATTGTTTATAGCATACCTTTCTGTTATAGGCATCTCCTTCTTTTTGAAGTATGGACACAATTTGCTTTATCACATCATCTACAAAAAGAAAAGAGGGTAATTTACCAACATGGTACAAAAAAAATCAACATAATGCATGTCAAATGCTACAGTGCTACACTGACAGCTGTGAAAGCCCCAGAAGCATATATTTAAACACAGTGGACTTAATGCAGAAAATAAAAGAGAGACGATCTTAAGCTGGCAATACGCTGGTAGATTTTTATACCAACTTTCATATGAAAAATGTCGTCAGAACATTCCATAATGCCATAAAAAACTTGACAAATGGTGTTTGAAATTTTGTTTGATTGTAACATTTCATTTCGGAATGAATGGAGTTTCCCGAACAAAAACCACATTCATCGTTATTATTTAGTTCAATCAAGAAAACTTTTCTATCCTGCTTTGATTTTTTTCATCACTACAGTAGAAATCGATCGTTGACCCTATTAACTATTAGAATATGGAACGAAATTCCAAAAATTAAATTGTAACCATGCATACCCAAGCTCTACTGCACTGTGTGGATACTGGCAAACAATCTGCACAGGTAACATGTTATAAAACTATACAATGTATGTACCCTAGCTAACAGAAAGCAAAACTGTGTGAATAAAACACAGTATAATTACAGTATAAAATAAATGACAAGGTAAAATGATCATCAAAGTTCACATTCTTCAGCAACATATTTTACAATGTATGGTGTTATTGAATAGTAAGTTATAGGTTTTAGAAAAAGTGCATGTAGTATGTGAAGGCTTTCCTATTACGCTGTTATTTTAGTTTACTACTATGACTTTGTCATGTGTCAGACTGACAGAATTAGGAAAATAATAACAAATGATGTAGTAGAAAATGTAATAGGCCATATGGGATATTTTGCTGAGATAAAACTGCAGAAGGGGCATTCCCTATGTAGCAGTCCTATGGTTGCACTGCAATTTATTATATGTATTTACTATATCACATGCACTAGGGCCAGTTTATCTAACAGCATGTCTCTGGAGTGTGGAAGGAAACAGAGTGCATGCAAACTTCATACAGGTAGTGTCATAGGTGGCAGTTGAACCAAAGACCATACTGCTACAATTTAGGAGTACTAACCACTAAGCCACTGTGCTCAAACTAACTTCATTGTCAATTCTCGGCAAGCCAAGTTTCAATCAAGTTGGACATTAAAAAACAGAGAAACTGTTAGAGGTGTGGCAGGGGAAGAGAGGTGAGTGGTCTCTGTCACAGGATCGATGATCAGGTAAGTATAAATTTTTTATTCAGTTTGCTAGAGAAAAACTAGCAGTTAACCTCTGCAATGTGGGGGGTAGCCCCACTGCAAGGGTTCATTTTTATTCTTCTCAGATTTCTTCTTTAAAGGAGAACTATGGGGTTAAGGCTTTTCCCCATAGTTCTCCTTAGGGTAACGGGAGGACACAAACTAGCGTCCTCCCGTCACCCTAAGCTCAGTATACCGCGAGCTGCAGCATGTAGTATGTGAAGGCTTTCCTGCCCCTCCCCTGTCACGGCAAAGAGCCATGGCAGGATCAAGAGGTGAGAGAACGCCGGTATGTGTTCGCTCACCTCCCGATCTACTGAGCCGACCTGTGACAGTCTCATTGTCACAGGTCGGCTAGAACTATGAGGTGAGTGAAAAGCACTCACCTCATAGTTCTCCTTTAAAGTACTGACCATTACGTACCGGGCCACAGTGTCTAGTATTTATTCCTGAATAAACAAGGCAATACCACACTAAATTGATTAGTGTGAATTCAATTTGCATGTATTGTGATCTTACCAGTTCCTTTAGTTTCTCCATTATTTGACTCTTCACCCAGGCTTTGTTTTCTTGTCCAATCAGTATCATTCACAAGCAGGTCGATCTCTGCAGACATTCGATGGTAATAGCAGTCTCCATGCTTTTCTCCTGCACAGATCATAGTAGGCTTGTCACATTTATTATTATTATTACACTACTATTGACTACAACTTCAACTTTAACCCATTAAAGTGGGCATCAAAACGCACTTAGTTCTACCTGATGCCCTGAACAAAAAAATATGTACCATGACGGAATAAACATTTCCGTACCATTACATACCATGTTAAATACAATATGGGCTGCTGCATCAGTTAATGCTATTGTCTCTATTCTACACATGCCTACCTTGTGTGTAATTATCTGTGCTGTGGTGCAGGGGATGTAAGGGTGGCTCTGTAGGGCAGTTCAAATATAAAACCTAATAGCTTTACTTTTGGTATGGAAAAGTCTTTGATATTTTGACTTTAACGGTTATACCGATTTGGCCATGCAACCCTAGCAGTGTAAGTGCTATGTGATTGTTGGGTAAGTGAAATCTTCTAAATGTATTATTACCTGCCTGGACAATTCACATTACTGTAGCTAACTAAATACAGAAAGTTTCAATACTTGTTATACTGCTTCATTGCATAGCTGTACATATATCAGTCAAGAGTCTGAGTGATTTAAATCTTGAATAAAAAAACAAGCATTTACTGTATACAAGATTATCTCCTGAAAAGCCAGGCAACTAGACAGATGTGTAACGAACATTCGAGGAAAGATCTGCGTTTGTTTGTTTGAACATTGGATGGATTTAGCTGTTTGTTTAACTTAAAGTGACATTAAAGGCTCCCCCCCACCCCCACCCCCATGCTGCTTTAAGTACTTACCTTACGTGATGCCTCTTGATGCGAACATCTTCTTCCTTCCAGTCGTTTTCAACAGTCCCCTCAGCACCAGTGTCGCTCTCTGATCCAGCGCAGACTCCTATTTCTTCCTGTGTCCCATGGAGTCTGTCCTGCATGCACGCACCGGCGTGCGTGCATTCACTGACATTCTCTCACTATTCCTCTCCGGTCCAGTAATATCAACTGTGCATGTGCCCGCACATGCACTTCCTGCGCGTCCATTTGAGAAACTGTGTTCTGCAGCCAGGAGCAAGCGGCACAGACACGGGTAAGTTATACATATTTGGACACTTTTTTAAATGTTGGGGCATATAGTTACTGCTTGCTAGCAGTAGATATATGTAAAAAAATGGAGACTTTAATATCATTTTAATATAAGATTGTGTTTTTCATAATAGTACACCTAGATTCTGGCAGTCATATTGCAGTGCAGGCTAACACAACCCTAACTTGCATGCACTAACACTGCATGCACAATTATCCTGCTTCTGTTTATACTTTTCTGTTTAGATCACAAAGAAAGTATGTATTCTGTCTAATGCAATATAAACTTACGTCTTTTAGATGATGATAGCTTATTGATGCGTCTCAGTGGAAGGTAGGTGGGTCGTTTCAGCTTTGTTTCTTCTTCTGAAACATTTTTCTTAAAAGAAAGTGTCCTTCGCAAGCTATTTTTTTTAATGCTGGCTGTTCTTGAAGTCTGTGTTAAATGTCCATTAGTGTCAGGGGTGACGGAACTGACCACAGATGCAGTTTGTGCAGAAGGATTTCCTTCCTTTTTAAATAGTTGATCCAGTAAATTCCTAAACCATGACTTTTTGGCAGATTTTACTTTGGCGATTCTCACAGGCTGTTGGTTTTGCTGGACCATCTCTTCAGATTCTGATGGCTTGTTTGCATTATCTCCATCTTTGTTCTCTGTCTCCTGTAACTCTGCTTTATTAACTACAGTCATTTTATTCTCCTTTGCTCTGTGTCTAAATTTAGTGAGGTCACTGATTGATCGCTGCACTCTAGCATGTCTCTTTTCTCTATTTTCCACTGGCCTCTTTGTTTCTCGATTGCTTAAACTTCTTTTTACATATGTTTCCAGTACCAGTTGAGCCTCTTTCTTGTTTAAAGAAACAAATTTCCCTCTTTCTTTCCTTTCCAATTTATGACTGTTTATGTCTGTCTCCTCCATATTTTTCCTGTGTTAAGATCCAAATGGTTAATATATTACTATTATTTTATGATCAAATTAGACCATCCATTTCTTAGAATATCATATAGAACACTAACATACATTTACAGGAATTGAATGTAGATAAATACCAGCATACATATCACCTAGTAATACTTCCACAATTGGGTTAGATATAGAGTACAAGAAAGCTTTAGTATAGGAAGAAGTTCTTGGAGTGACATCAAACCATTATCTGGGTGTTAGCATGCTAGCTATGTGAAAAGATCAGTGTCCATAGAAAAAGCAGGCATGATGTGATGTCCCAGGAAACTGTCTTTAAAGTTAGGCATCATTCACCCTGCAAGTGGAGTATAAGTAATGTAAGATGAAAGGTGCTTCTAGGATCCCCTGGAGATTTGTTATGTATTGGGCAAGGGGAAAAAATATGGCTAGCTCTCCAAAAGCTAAGCTTTTAGATGTGCAAACAATAGAGCATGTGCTGTATTACAAGCCCTTTAAGAAAATGCATAATAGTATACCTCCTGAATTGTGTGGGGTTGTTACTAAGAGTCAAGCCTGACAGGCAAATCCCCTGAAGCTTCAGCTGCATCAGGATGTGCCTTCCGCAGAACTGTCTATTGCTTAAAGTATACAGATACATCTCTTGGTAGTGCCATCGAAAATGGAGGGTCATGATAAAGTCCACATTTGGAGAGTTGCATTGTCTTCTTTCAAGGCACTACAAAGCGAAACATTGTGCAACTCATTCCAAGAGGATGCTGTTATCTAATGCTGAATTCAAGGCTTGGTTAGGACACAGAGTTTTTATGATTTCCTTTTTGGCTCAGGATCAAATAGTTCCAAGATGGAGCCTACAATGAACATTATCTGGTGCACGTCCCATGGCTGACTCTTGACCAGAGCCACCTATGACCCACCTATGCAAGGTGTTTAAACTGTGAGAGACAGCCTACATTTTGGCCTCACATAGCAGGTTCTAACTCTTATAAACAAGATGTCAATCCCAATCATAGTATTTTTACTAAAATGTATAGTATGTAGCTGGCAACCTGGTGTTATGGAGCATTCTGCTACAATATTCTTTACTCAGCTGCCATTTTTGAGAGACTTTATACGTTATAAAATCATCATTGTGAAATACATTTGAACCTAGTTATGGTCATTAATTCAAACAAAAAAAACTGAAAAGATTTGTTTAAGTTAAAATATGTAGCTGGCAGCCTTTTATTATGGCAATGTACTCAATGCATTTCTGCTACAATATTCTTTACTCAAATTCTATTTGTGGAAGACATTACTGTGATCAAATCAACATTAAAAAAATATATATATATATGTTTATCCTGGTCATTTGTATGCAGCCCCCACTGGGAAACAGAAAACCAAGCTCACAACCTACCCATTGGACACCACTGTGTTTCACGTACATTTGGTATAGGGTAATTAAATTGCCCAGAGGTATACAATATCATATGAACAAATTGAAATATATTTATACTAGAACATGCAAAAACAAATTATTTTCTATATGGTTTATATAGAACAATGTCAACGTCACTTTTCGGTTAGTAAGCATTAAAGAATCTGCATGTAATATTATACATTTTTATTTTCTTCCAATAAATGGGACTTTAGATTAAGGCTAGGACTACAATGGCCATTTCACTGCAAAGAAGCTATACACAGCAAGTTTTTTCATGTTCATCCATGCGTGTTGAATAAGAAAATACTATAGATCAGTAGTTCTCAACCTGTGTAACCTCAGGACCCAAATTTGTCCTTGCTCATGAAGTCACGACCCAAGTCGTACTGCAATGGAAGGCACAACATTAGGGTACTGTGCATTCCGGTTCGGGCATATGAACTTTGGGTGGGAGGTGCATTTGGGGTACCATTCAAATAAATGGCAACGGAACACACCTCCCAGACCAGAATGCACAGTATGCGGATTGCATGGTAATGTAAGATTAACACACTGTACTAGTATGGACGGGCCCTCAAAAACACTGGCATACATACACAACCACAGACACAATCTCACACACTCCCAGACATTCTCACACACATTTCCCTACCTTACGAGAACTGGAGTGAATCCTCATATAGGACATGTGGGGGAACTGTAAGCAATGCACATAAGGATGGAGCTCCCTGGTGGCCCCATCCTCATCCCACCTCAAGCTGACACTCGGTGCTGGGCAGCATATTTTGAATGGCTGCTCGGTGTGGGAAATGACAGTGTTGCACTAGGGGAAGGCAGAGGAGCCTCTCACCTTGAAAAGTGGAAGGCATGCGGCAACCCACTGAACATGGGGTCCCGACCCACTTTTGGGTCATGACCAACCAGTTGAGAACCAAGGCTCTAGATTCCCCCATCCATGATAACAGTGTTGATGGAGGGTGCCAACTGAGTCATCCATTGATCAAATTTTGACCACTGTATGGTTTAAGAGATTTAACTGATTGACAGTAGCCTAAAGATAGAGATTGAGATAGAACAACAATAGCTCATCCCTGCTGCTAGAGATTTAATCACTAGGTGCAGGCAGTAAAATACACAAGTAGTATGTATTAGCAACCAATCATATGATCACACAATGCTCATTCATGTGTGATTGATTGCTACAAGATGCTGCTACATGCTACTTGTGTAGTTTATTCCATGGGTAGACCTTTTCTCTATTGGTTTACGGACCTTGCAATTTTATCGCTACCAACTTTAGTTTAACGATTGAGCTACTAAAATCTCCTGTGTAGCTCTAGCCAATTCAGATATTCCCTATTCCCCTTTTATGCAAGTAGTTACATTGTAGCAAGAAACTACAATGTAGCCAGTTGCTTACTCTGAGCATGAGTGGGGTTATTTAGTAGAGATGACATAAAGTAACATTTTCTGTAAATGTGTAGGTGATATTCACAATTTGTTTTCAGTCCCACATTCATGTTGAGTAACCAGCTTGTCTTGAATTGTATTGTAACTACTCTGTCCGGCTTTATACTGTAAGGTACTGCAAAACGATTGGTGTTTTATAAATACTGATTAATAATAATGTTTAAATTGAAAAGTTTGTGAAAAGGACACCATTCACATTCGTATGGCCAGACTCATCAGTCCCATCCAAAAAGCTTGTTACCAGCGGACAGAGGCACACCATAGCCGTCACTAGTAGTCCAATGTATGTAGAGTCACACTTGCAGCCAGGACCTCGATGTAAAAAGTTTATTCCCAGGAATCTAAACCGTTACAAGCATAACAAGATCCACAGGCTATAGAGCCTGTGGATCTTGTTAACGTTGTAGATTGCTAGGAATAAACTTTTTACATTGAGGTCCTGGCTGTTGAGTGCGGCTCTACATACCTTGGACTACTAATCTTTAAATCAAACTTCACTTCACTTTAGTAAATTATCACGTAAGCATATTTAGAATCCATGTATGCACAAACCTATATATTGTTTTAAAGAAGAGAAGGACAGTTAAGAAAATTAAAAAATAAGAAGAATAGGAACAAACTAAAGAGCTAGTTATCTAGGATATCATTATTAAAGGCGTGTTTGCCTTTACTTTTCTTTAGTTCGGTTTACCTTTCCTCTTCCATAAACGCTTGCCGTAAGTTACAGATGCTCTGGTGGTGTCTGTCAGTGTTGTATAGTTTTCCTGTGTGTACCGTATGCTCTCACACACCAAGGTGATCTAAGAGCCTATTTATATGCCTCCAATAAGCAAACACTTCTTCCGAAAGCTCAACCCCCTGTGGTTTTCCCATTCTACGTAGACAGCACAAATCCATATAGAGTTCTTTCAGTTCTACTTCCTCATTGCTGCAGGCCTTTTACATGTAATTACAGTAAAGGTAATAAACCTGTTATATGACCTGTAAAATGACATAGGGATAAGAAGGTAAATCAGATAGGTGTACAACATGGTCATTTCTGGTAATCCAGTCTGGCTTTTGTGTTAGTGCCTGGGTGAAAAACAATACACACAGTAAACCTGACAGATGTTCTATTGATATCCTAACAATGGCAAAAAGGAAAAGAGAAAAACGGGAGTTTTTAAAGCACCAAATGACAAGTCCAATAAGCTCCAAAAAGAAGTTTTTGATATATAAAAATATATTATTTATTATAATTCATACAAAAAAGATAAAAACATCAAATTAATAGTATATTATAAAAAAGGAGAGAGAGAGAAAACCTCCTAACACCCACTATGTTCCAAAATAGAGGTCATATTAGACATGATAGAGGATATAATAACATGATTGTTCTGACATATAATGCAATACAATGATACTATTACTAATACTATTGATATCCTAGCATATCATGAAATAATTTGTTGAGGTTGAAAGTTTATGTGTATTACTATGAAGTAGTACAGTCATATTAAAAACTCTCATCTACACTGGATCTTTTTGCCAGAAGCTGGCACAAAATCCAGCATTAAAGAAAAACACTTTTTTTCTTAATGCTTAGATGCGTTTATGCTCGGAGGCGCATGTATATAAACTTGCTGCATAAATTGTAGAATATATTTCCGTGCATGTGCACATGTTTACATGCGTATGCATGTAAATTATACCAGTAAGCTCCTCTCCGATCACAGGTTTGGGGCATTTTCTTTTTGCCCCTGAACACTGCTCTAAAATAAGGATCTAAGCACCAAAATATGCATGGACACATTGGCTCAAACTGAACTGTATTCAGAGGCATAAAAAAATGCCTCTAAAAGTGGTGTTTTTTTCTGCTCATATGCATGAGGCATAACGTAGACAGCACATATCATCCATATAGAGTTCTTTCAGTTTGACTTCCTCATTGCTGCAGGCCTTTTACATGTAAAGGTAATAAACCTGTTATATGACCTGTACTGTAATATGACAAAGGGATAAGAAGGCAAATCAGATAGGTGTACAACATGGTCATTTCTTGTAATCCTGTCGGCTTTTGTGTTAGTGCCTGGGTGAAAAACAATACACACAGTAAACCCGACAGATGCTCTATTGATATTCTAGCATATCATGAAAAAATTTGTTGAGGTTGAAAGTTTATGTGTATCACTATGAAGTAGTACAGTCATATTAAATACTCCCATCTACACTGGATCTTTTTGCCAGAAGCTGGCACAAAATCCAGCATTAAAGAAAAACTTTTTTTTCAAAATGCTTAGATGCGTTTATGCTTAGAGGCGCATGTATATAAACTTGCTGCATAAATTGTAGAATATATTTCCGTGCATGTGCACATGTTTACATGCGTATGCATGTAAATTATACCAGTAAGCTCCTCTCCGATCACAGGTTTGGGGCATTTTCTTTTTGCCCCTGAACACTGCTCTAAAATAAGGATCTAAGCAACACAATATGCATGGACACATTGGCTCAAACTGAATTGTATTCAGAGGCATTCAAAAAAATGCACAGCTCTAGTTGGGAACTATTTACAGTCTAATTGAAAACTGGTGTCAGGTGCAGAGAATTGTTGCATTATTATTTCGTATTCCCAGGTAGTGATATTTACATCTCATAGACATCTTACAGACACTCACTGGACAGAAAAATAGAAACCTCTTTTTTGTACTGCAGGTCTTAATAATAGCCACAACACACTCTAGCGTTGATGTCACTTGGGTCTTGTAGTGGTCTAGTGTCACTGCAAACCTGTAGTGAAAGACTATGGAGCCTGTTATTCTGAAAACACTAGTCTAGCAGTCATGCTGTTCCAAAGATGTCATTCCTTAAAGCGACACTAAACTCAGAAATTAAATAATAAAACTAACTTATATTATATAAATAATAAATTACTGTGTACCTTATTTTGTCATTGTTCAGCTCTAAATGCTCCAACCACCATTTTATTTTTCCCCAGCTACAACTTCCTGCTAGAGGAAGGCTACTTTTCTTCTCCATGGTCCCTATGAGAGCTGAAAAGTAGCCACCCTCTGTGCTGGTTCATGTGAAGGACTCCAACATGCTGAAGTGCGTGTCTTCTCAATCTCCGCCCCTCATATACTGAATATGTAAATACACTATTTTGTGCATGTTAGGTTATTTCTTTTTACTGACTAGGAAGCACTACAGCAGGCCACCAGCTTAGCTTTGCTCTTTCAGCAGGTATCAAAGCCAAGAGTGCTTAGCTTACAACAAAACAGACTATCTTAGCAGCCTAAAGCAGAACTAAACCCAACTATGCATCAAATATGGTGCCATCTTAGCCTCTAGGACTCTAACGACACCTGCCATTTGAGGGCCTGAAAGATCAGTTGAGAACTGACATAAGCACACTGACACAGTTATAACTCGAGGCATGCTTTGGATGTAGCATACACTGAAGGGAATTTATCAAAACTGGAGCAGTCAAAATCTGGAACAGATGTGCATGGCAACCAATCAGCTTCTCTCTTTCATTTTCAAATCTTAAGTGACCAAACTGAAGAGAGAAGCTGATTGGTTGCCATGCACAGCTGCTCTAGATTTTGTCTGCTGCAGTTTTGATAAATTCCCCCCACTGTGTTTGCACTATTCGGCTCAATGTAAATAAAAACTTCGGAAGATCATTTTAAGCTGGTTCTACAGTTATTATCAAGGCTGTAGTCTGGCTTGACGAAAATAGAAGAGATCCATTATACTTACTCTATATTCACAATTTCCACTGAACTTGTTAATGATGAGCTATCTACACGTAGAAAAAAATTGCCTGGACACATGTACAGTATGTGGTGATTACTGATCATTTCACTAAGTGGACTTCTTAGCCTCTAGGACTCTAACGACACCCGCCGTTAGAGATTCAATGAAATCTTGCTGCATTTGATGCAATAATTGAAGGATGAAGAAAAACAAAGGACTATTTCCAAGAATTGGCATGAAGTAATTACATGGTACATTACACAGAATATGATGATTGAAAGACCTGGTCCATAGCCCGCCGATCGCCTATATGTGCTCGTTCGCTCCGAGGGCGTCAGGAGGAGATGACAGGATCGAGAGATGAGCAAACCCGGTATGTGTTCGCTCACCTCCCGATCTACTGAGCCGGCCTGTAACAGTGTCATTGTCACAGGTCGGCTAGAACTATGAGGTGAGTGGAAATCACTCATCTCATAGTTCTCCTTTAAGAGTGGCAATAACTGAAAAGAGCCAATGGAGTAGTGACTGCATAGACAGATCCCAGCTGTGGACTAACCATCTGAAGAACTGCCATTGGAGAAATAAGACAGAGTTTGTAAGACAAATCAATCAACCAATCAATCAATATACATATAGGGACATGAGCTAATTATGTATCCCAAGAGATTTGTTATTTGTTACCCCTACATTGGCCTTCTCCTTTTCTTCCTGTATTGTGCTTATAGTTAACTTCTTAATTGAAGTAGTATAATAAAGTTAAACAAATGTGTTTGCTTTCTCTGCTGATTTCTCTATTTCTCTCATGTCCTAACTTCTCTTCTCCCTTGAAGACACAGAAACAGTTGTTACCATAAGATAATAAGTAGCTTTAAAAAAAAAATTATTAGAAGCTGAATTCAGATGGCAATTAAGCAACCAATGAGACTGGTGGTTGTACAGTCTTATGCACGACTCTACATATCTACTACACATGCCGTCCCACCCATGTAATGCAGTGTAGTGGGAGAAATAGATAGATAGATAGATAGATAGATAGATAGATAGATAGATAGATAGATAGATAGATAGATAGATAGATAGATAGATATTAGGGCTGTTACTGATTAAAATTTTCGTGTTCGATTGATCAAAAAAAATTTTCATCGATTAATTTTGATTAATTATAACGCACATACAGATCCAACTACATTGGCCTATACACATACAACAAGAAACATAAAACTTCTTAATTGTACTAGGTTAGTAAACTATTGTGGTGCACATTCATGTCTTTTTGTTTACTCCCTGAAATTATTGCCTCCATTTTGCTACTAGGTACAAAACAATCATGTAAACTGAAGTTACCTGCCGAAATTAGATGATCCTCATGACTATAAGTGTCAGCAGATGCCCCTGGATAACCTTTTTCATGTAAACTACTGACTGGCCAGAATGACCCAGAAAGACAAAAGCCATACAGCAAAGCTTTGGCTGGTCATCAATACAAATAAGATTGCGTGCCCAAGCTTTCTTGCTGTCCATTGTCAGTGCTGCCTCCAAGAACAGGAACTGTGAGGAGACATCTTGGTATTATGTATTACACATATCATATGCTGACTCTTCCTGGCTTAGACATTCAGTCCCAGTGTTCTGAACAGAATATAAGATTAATTGCACTGATCCACTGGAAAACAAAGGGGTCTGTCAGCCATTGTATCAACAAACAAGCACACAATGCAGAGTGGAAACTCAGTAGAATGTATAGAAGGAGGTATTAGCAACAGAAAAAGAAGAGCAGTAAATGCCAGACAATACCATCCCTTTAAGAATTTATTAGAAAAGACATAACATTTTGTATTCCCATCTGTAGTGAAAAGGTTGTCAGGAACTATTCCACTCTTTGACTTTACTGAAAATGGCATTTTCTTCTGTATTACACAATCTAATATAAGCCGTTTCATATCTAGCATGAACCTTAAATATTCTGTCATTGAAGTTATCATC